GATCAGCCATGTTCTTATTGAATGGCAGAGCTGGCTCGAAGGGCCAGATGGCCTACTCCTGCTCCCGGTTCTGATGTTCTTAAAAGAAGCCACTCAAATTCAAGGGGTCTCATACACACTCCAGAGAACATCAGGACCAAGAAACAGGAATCTTGGGGGCAGGAAGTACAGCCTCAACTCCAGTTCGATGAGCTGTAATCAGGGTAGTATACACTTTCTAATGTCTTGCGCTCCCATATATATATCTATCTTGTATTTCAATGATGATAAACCATGTCTCATTATTAGTGTAAAATGAGTCCCATGTGAGCAAGTAGGTCAGACCATTCGAAAACAGAGGTCAAGACATCCTTCCTAAGGAATAGTGCATGTAATGGCTCAATGACTCAGCTGGTCTTGAAAAGAGGCAAGCTCAATTAATAATTTTATACTTGAGATCAATTGATTCTTGTTAGTCATAAGGTTTTTTTAAGAGATATGAAATTATTAACTTATTTAATGACGGAAGAGACAAGAGAGGATATTTAGCCTACTTCTGTTCCTAATTTGGCACAGAGCATGATACTCAGATTGATGCAAATTAAATGTCCCCCTTCTAATAGGGAAACTAGCTGATGTCTGCAGTAGTGCCATTTCTTCTGTTCACTTTCATAAAAAAAAATTCATCAACCTTTCCAACTTTCCCTTCTCTCTCCTTCATTTCACTGTCTTAAACTTTTCCCTTCTTTTCTTCAGTTTCTCGGCCTCCATTTCCAGGGTGGGATATTGACCAACATTGAGGATTAGTCCACTGTTTCTGACAGGTTCATTGATGATACTTTCTCACACCCTACTTACTTTAAGGACTCTGTTCTATTCTTCTAGTTTCTTGATCTCCATTGCATCAGTTTTAATTACTTTTTTTTTAATGCTACTGCATCTGCTATGTCTTTGTTTTCCACAACTGAGGATTTTCCTAATATGGACCTTCAGCTGTGACCATTCTACTTTGAACACTTCTGTTCTTATCCCTTCCTATTGCTCACCATAAGGCTCGATTTCTACTGGACTTGTCTCCAGATTCAACAGATCTTCCTCTCATTTCTGTCATCTCCAATATCACATTTCTGTGTAAAACATCTTCACATAGCCTCCTGAGAATCATAGGATTCTCACAGTGCAGGAGGAGGCCAGTTGACCCATCACATCTACATCAATTCTTCGAATAAGCCATTCTCTTGCCTGCTTCCCATAATCTTACACATTGTTCCTTTTGACGTTAACAGTCCAACTCAGTTCTAAATGTCTCAATTGAACTTGCTTCTACCACATTCTCAAGCATTACAGACACTAAGAACCTGCTGCCTGAAAATCCTTTTCTCACATTGCTCCACTTCTTTTGCTAATTGCTTTAAATCTGTGCACATTTGTTGACAATCCTTTCATGAGTGGGAACAGGTTCATGCTTTTTACATGCCTCAAACTCTTATGACTTTGAAAACCTCTTCTAGATCTCGTTTCAGCCTTTTCATTGAAAGAAAACATTCCTAAGCAGTCCTAACATCTATCTTCATAACTGAAGAACTGTTCTTATAAATCTCTTCTGCCCCTGCCTTCATATTATTCCTAAAGTCTTAAAACAGAACACAATACTCCAGCTGATGTCAAACTAGAGTCTGATATAAGTTCAACATAAACTACTTAGTGCTATATTCTTTGCCTCTCTTAAAAACATTTAGTTTACTATACACCTTATCAAGCACCCCCTCAATCTGTCCTGGTAGCTTTTATGGCTTACATGCATGTACAACTAGGTCCCTCTGCTCTTGCGCCCCTTTAGACAGGGATGCTTTATTTCATATTGCCCTACATGATTTTTATACAAAAATTAATCACATTTCTTTGTATTGAACTTATCTGCCACTCGTCCGTTTATTTCACCAACGTGCATCTTTTTGAAGTTTCATAATTTACTCCTCACAGATGATAATGCTACAAAGTTTCATGTCGTCTGCAAATTTTGAAATCGTGCCCTTACTCCAAGGCCCTGATGATTCATATGCCTGGAAACATAAGGTTCTGAACACTGACCCTGGGAGAACTCCAATACAAAACTTGTCCCAGCACGAAAAACGTCCATTAAACACGACTCTCTGATTCCTGCCACTCAGCCTATTTTGGATCCATGTTACTCTGATTTTCTTTATTCTATGACCCCTAACTTTGCTCAAAAGTCTGTTGTGTGGCACAGGATCAAATGTTTTTTGGAAGTCCATGTATACTACAGAAAAGGGTGGCATGGTAGCTCAGTGCCTCACAGCGTCAGGGACCTGGGATCAGTTCCAGCCTCGGGTGACTTTATGTGTAGAGATTGCATATTCTCCCCATGTCTGTGTGGGTTTTCTCTGGGTGCTCCAGTTTCCTCCCATAGTCCAAAGATGTGCAGGTTAGTTGGATTGGCTATGTTAAATTGTCCATAGTATCTAGGGTGGGAAATACAGGGGTGGGATGTTCTTCTGACAGACGGTGTGGACTCGATTGACCAATTGGCCTGGTTCTACACTGTGGGAATTCAATGGTTCTAACAGTGTTGCTCTCATCAAGTCTCTTTGTGAGCTGTCCAAAAAACACCAGCAAATTAGTCAAACTTCATTTTCCCTTCAGAAATCCAGGCTGGCTTTCTTGAACTAACCTCCATTTGTCCATGTGGTTATTAATTTTATCTCAAATGGTCATTTCCAAAGGATTCTAGACCAGCAGAGTGAAACTTACTGGCCAGTTGGGCTGATCTTTACACCCTTTTTTGAACAAGGGTGCAACGTTTTATCCACTCTCGGCCACTGGCTCTTAAGAAAGACTAAAAAAATTAAAGGCCAGGTGCTGCTGAAACTTCCACGCTCACTTTCTGCAGCATGCATGGATGTATCTCACTTAGTCCTCATGCCTTATCAACCTTAAGTAGAGTCAGCTTGATTATTGTGCTATGGTGTCATTACTTAACAAGTAAGCACCAATATTCATGCCCCACTGTTCCATAAGCTGTCACAAAAATGTATGACTGTACAAAATCCCAATGAGACCACCAAAATGACCAATTTGCCTGAATGACTGCTTTCAGGACAAAAAACAATTCAAACTTAGTCTTCATCAAGAAGAGAAACAAATAACTACTTGTCATAAGACTACTTAATTTTAACAAAAGCAATGAAAAGAAAGAAGTTCTAATTTATGCAACTTAACCTATATCCCTTCAAAACATTACACACACACACATCTGGATAAATTGTTATGATCTCTCTACCTTAACTAGTTTGTACAGTTAATATTTTGATTAGACCCTCAGCATGCAACTCTTATACCTATCATGTTATTCGAGTCATTTGATTTGTCAGCAGTAAATCCTTGCTTTTAATTTTTTGTAATTACCTCTCTGCCTCATTTAATCAGATTATAAATCATCCCTTCATTTGGGATTCAGCTGTTGACACTTTACTCACACTTCTGATCCCACACAGACTGATTATTCAATGCTGCACTCTCACCATTTGTTTGATCGTTTGATCTCTCTGCCCTCAAATTCTGTGTGGTTTTCTTTCACTTCACATGACAAAGGGACTACGCTCCAAAATCTTGTGATTTCAAATAAACCTGTTGGACTATAACCTGGTGTTGCGTGACTTCGGACTTCGTCCACCCCAGTCCAACACCGGCACCTCCACATCACACATGCACACAATTAAAAAGACAGAAGACAAGTAATTTAATACATATACTATGGTTAGAAAAAGAATACAGACAGGTTAAACAAAATTCCAAAGTTCAAGCATCCAGACCACAAGATGAGAAGTTAGTTTTCTCACAGTCCTATTGATTTTGCAATAACAATATGCTATTGTCTCCAGAGTGATAACCAACTTTTAATTCAATAATTGATCAGATGAACTTTCCTTGAATTAACTATTTATTTAAGCTTTCTTGTTTTTTTCTTTCTTTGCCCTACACAGAAACAGAGAGAGATGGATGCTTTATTTCTGCATGCTTTGGCTGTTTCTTTCACACTGCTGCTCTTGGCACTTTCACTTTTTAACATTTTGTAGCTCAACCCAGTCGAATAGCCAATGTCGGGCAGAATTTCTTTCACTCAAAAGATTTTCAATGCTGTTCAGTCTCAAATTCTCCCCTTTACTATTGCCAAAAAGCAACATTATATTACAGACTTCAACAATATGCAACACTTGAAGTTCAACTTGCAAAACCTTCTTAGCTTTTCAGTAATAGCAGTCAACCTCCCATTTCAGATTATAGTTTCAAAAAAAAACAAAAAGTACATGGTCTCGTATAATAGTAGGAGCCAATAGAAAAAAACCAAAAGAACTAATTAGCGTAGAGGTGTAAAGTACAGGTCAGACATCTCTTTCCTTATTTAATGTCTCCTGTCTTCCACTCTAGCTCGAATCTTTTTGTTCACCGTCATCAAAACCCACAATCTCTCTCATATATCCCAATTCTGACAAAAGATCATTAACCCAGTTTCTCTGTCCTCAGATCTTCCTGACATGATGTGAATTTCCAGCACTCTTATTATTTCAAATTTCCAGCATTCACAGTATTTTTCTTTTGTGTAGCTCAGAGGTTCTTAATCATTTTGCTGCTGAGTCTTACAAAAATTCTATAGATCACTTGTAATGGATCATAGGTATATTTTCTGTAAAATAATATTAGTTAATTAAACTACATTTATTGGTATTAATTAACGATGGAAGGTGAAGCAGGTTGCTGCTGCTGAACAACAATTCCGACACAGCGTTGAGATTTGAATTGTGATAGATTTGACTATCAGATCAATGGCAAGTAATGAAGTAAATTTCAGACAAAAAATAATGCATGTTTCATATAAGGAAGACTGAAAGCAATTTTAAATCAAGTAACCAAGAAGGAGAGACAATATTAAGATAAGGACACCCCGAGAGACTGAAAAGTGCAATGAGTTAATTATTGATTGCAATTTATTTCAGACTTACGATTGTCTGTTGTTTACACTCAGTTCACCATTGATCGGAACCAAATAACCCCGACTGTTTCGAAGCTGGAAAACAAAATATTTAATAACATGTTATAAACATTTCAACTCATTACATGCGTAGAAATGTTTATAACACCAGGTGCCATGGTTTGGTGGGGGGGGGAGGAGGTGGTGGTGGGTGAGGGCAAGAAATATTATATCAAAATTTGCTTGCCCTTTGACAGCCATAAATAGAAACTTTTTTTAAAGAATATTTGCTGAGGTGACTATTTGCATTCAAGCTGCCGCTTGCTTCTTTTTTCGAGAACATGATTGTAGATGTGATTAGTAAATTCACTTTTCTAATTTACGCTCTTACACTTAACCAAAGTTAACTGCAGCCCTGAAACAAATGAAAGCAGAAATTGCTGGAGAAACTCAGCAGGTCTGGCACCATCTGTGGAGTGAAAGCAGAAATAACATTTCGAGTCCAATGACCCTTCTTCGAAAACCAAACTGTCTCTACTTCCTAAATTTCTAAGCTGAGATCTTTTGTTTGTTTGTTTCCAATCTCCCACATCCACAGTTCTTTGCTTTATTTAATTGTAATTCTGTTCCACTCGAAGTGTAGTCTATACTATGATTAGGCCATTTTCACTGAAACAGAATGTAGGAAAGAATGCAACGAAAAGGCCAAGTTAGTCCATCAAGTCTATTCCTTCCAGATTATTTCCAACTTGTTCTACAAGGATTCTACTTACAACTCCATTGGATTTCTCCAAAAAAGCCATTTAATCAACGAATGATCGAAAACCAGTCAATGCAATCTACTCCCATTTACTCCAGATGTGCATTGTATTACGTCTGAGTGGGTTGATTAAAATATTTGCAAAGAAGAATGATGTTCATTGGAAAATGTACTAACAAGATGAACAGCAAGTTTAGTAACAGAAAACAGGCAACGATGAAGAGAGAAAAAACCCAGACAGCAGACTGTGCCAGTGCACTTCCTCAGTCTGGGTGTGGTCTTAAATGGAAGAGTGCCGAATAATGTGAAGCCCATACAGGCCAAACAAAAATACAGCATGCTAAAGAACGGAACTTTATATAGTAAAATCAAGTCTGAGCTATTGAGGGAAAATAGTCCAATTACATACAATAACAAGCTTGATTAAGTATTTACACAATGTACAGGAATGGCTTAAACAGGACATTTCTAAAACCTTCAATTCTCAGGTCATTGTTCCATGTGATCTGGCACCATCTGCCATCACTGTTCTGTATTAATGTATTACGTTGCATTTGATAAAGTGGGAATTCAGGTATTGCATTTTTTTTAACATCCAGCATTTGGTGAGTGCTTTGTCTCAAACAGGTAAATGAGGAATTGCTATTCCTGTACTGCTGCTGCTTGGAGAGCCATTGTCATGGCAAGACACACACACAGACACACACACACACACACACACACACACACACACACACACACACACCCTCATTCTGGAAGACTCATCATTAAACTTCACTAGGCAGACCTCCACTTCACCCCAACCATACTGTTTCTACTTTCTAATTTTCAAACCTAAGAACCCTTCTCTTTACTTTGCCTCATCCTCCTTTTCCACCATTCCGATTTCTTCAAAAATGAACTAACCTGGAATATTTAGAGTGACAAAGAGGGTAATAGACAGAACAGACATTAGTGACTAGCTGGTGTCAGAGAAAATGATAAGAAGTCAAAACTGAAAACTCTATAACTCCATTCATGACTTTTCCAAGTAACTTTTCTTGAGAAATCATTATTGTTCTAAGTTTCTTCCTTTCATTTGACCCTTGCTTTTCTTCTATTCTTAGGACACTTATTGTATTGTACCCTTTACTGTGAAGACAGATGTAAAGCATTTTTATATTTGTACTCCCTGCTCTTCCTGTCAAACTCTAATTATTATTACTCATCCTTCACTATTGCCTTGTCCTTTCTCTCTCATAAATAATACCATTTGCCAAGACACTGTCCCAACATGCTTCAGCTGAAGGCCATCCCAAAGGTAAAGCCCTTATTTTTCCCAGTACTGGTGCCATGAGTCAGAACCTGCACCAATTATCCCACAGAAGAATAAAACAGCAAACTGTGTTAATGACACATAATTGTCTGACTCAGAGATAGTAGGAACTGCCAATGCTGGAGTCAGAGATAACACAGTCTGAAGAAGGGTCCCGACCCGAAACGTCAGCTTTCCTGCTCCTCTGATGCTGCCTGGCCTGCTGTATTCTTCCAGCTCCGCACCGTGTTATCTTTATAATTGTCTGACTCATCTTTTAGACCTCAAAACGAATATCTTCAACTTCAGTACGAATGATTACTCCATCTGGGTCATGTATTCATAGAGTCATAGAGATATACAGCATGGAAACAGACCCTTCGGTCCAGCATGTCCATGCCGACCATTTATCCTAATTAATCTAGTCCCATTTCATAACATTTGGCCCATATCCCTCTAAACCCTTCCTATTCACATATCCATCCAGATGCCTTTTAAGTGCTCTAATGGTACCAGCCTCCTCCACTTCTTTTGGCAGCCTATTCCATACACGCACCACCCTCTGCATGAAAGAGTTGCCCCTTAGGCCCCTTTTAAATCATTTCCCTCTTACCTTAAACCCATGTCCTCTAGTTTGGGTCTCCCCTACCCTGGGGAAAAGACATTGACTATTCACCCTTTCCATGCCCCTCATGATTTTATAAACTACTATAAGGTCGCCCCTCATCCTCCTATGCTCCAGGGAAGATAGCCTCTCCCTAAAGCTCAAACCCTCCAACTCCAGCAACATTCTTGTAAATATTTTCTGCACCCTTTTAAATTTAACAACATCTTTCCTTTAGCAGGAAGATCAGAATTGGCTGAAGTATTCCAAAAGTGGCCTAACCAATATCCTGTACAGCCACAGCATGGCATCCCAACTCCTATACTCAATGCTCTGACCAATAAATACCAAACACCTTTTCACTACACTGTCTATTAGTCACTCCACCTTAAAGGAACTATTAACTTGAACCCCAAGGTCTCTCTGTTTGGCAACACTCCCCAGGAACTTACCATGATGTGTATAAGTCCTCCCCTGATTTGCCTTACCAAAATGCAACACCTCACATTTACCTAAATTAAACTCCGTCTGCCACTCCTCAGCCCATCAGCCCATCTGATCAAGGTCCTGTTTTACTCTAAGATGACCTTCTTCACTGTTCACTACACCACTGTTTTTGATGTCATCTGCAAACTTACTAACCATTCTTCCTATATTCACATCCAAATCATTTATATAAATGGCAAAAGGCAGTGGACACAGTACTGATCCATAGGGCACACCACTGGTCACAGATCTCCAGTCCGATAAACAACACTCCACAACCACCCTAATGTGTCCTCCTTTGAGCCAATTTTGAATCCAGTTGGCTAGCTTTCCCTGGAGGCCATCTGTTCTAACCTTGCTAACCAGTCTACCACGTCCAACCTTGGCAAATGCTTTGTTAAAATCCATATAGACAACGTTCACAGCTCTGCCTTCATCAATCTTCTTTGTCACTTCTTCAAAAAACTCAATCAAGATAGTGTGTCAACTCTCTGATTTATGTAGCCAATGCCAGTTTGCATGTGGCTCAGGTAATAGTCCAGAGATAATAATCTTTGAGATCCTGCTTTATAATTTAGCAGAATAGCTCATACACCTGCAGCAGAAACATTTTCGTAGTTTCACTTTGTGACTTGTATCCATGTGGATCAGAACAACTGGATCCTTCTCCTCCCACTCCAAGTTCCTCTCCAGCCCTCAGGAGATGTCCTTAACCCTGGCACCTTAACCTTAGCACCAGACATCCATAACAGCTTTCGAGACCCATGCTCTCAGCTGCAGAGGACCATATCTCTCGTCTATACTGTCCTAGACTACAAATGCATCCCATTTCATTCCTGCCGCTTGAATGGCCTCCTGCACTTTGGTACTGTGATTAGTTTGTCTGTTCTCTTTGCAGTTCCTGCTTTCATCCTACAAGGTCCATTGAATGTCATGGATAAAAGTAAGGGCTGAGGCTTCTTCTGGGCTATTTTCTAGATCCCCACATCTGACTTACACACATGACCATGGACCAAATCCTGTATCTAACTTAAAGGGTATTACTGCCTCTTGGAACAAAGTGTCCAGTTAAGAAAAGAATGTCTTACTAAATCCACATATCCCCCTCCTTGATTCACAGTGTCTAAAGCTCATGAACTCTGAGCCAAAGTTCCTCGAGTGAAGACACTGACTGCAGATGCAGTTGCTGTGAATCACACAGGTGTCCACTGGCCCCAGTATGTTACAGCTGCAATGGATCAGCTGGCCTGCTATCTTTATTTGCTATTACAGATATTCAACTAATTAGGTTTTCCAGTTTCGATTGTTTTAAAATTCATAAACGGGATGTGGATGTTGCAGTCCAGCCCTGCATTTATTGTCCATCCGTAAGAAGACAGTTATGCCCTAAAGAGCAGTTAAGAGTCAACTACAATGCTGTGGATCTGGAGTAACATGTAGGTCAGACCAGATAAGGATGGTAGTATCCTTCCCTAAACAGCATTAGTGAACCAGATGTGTTTTGGCCTGACAATTGCAAATGGTTTCATAGTTATCATTAGACTCTTAATTCCAGATTGTTTTTTATTGACCATGAAACCATTGACGGTATTTATGAAGTAGGACAGTGTTTACAATATAAGTTGCATGAGAGCCAGGTTAGCTGGTTAACGGTTTTATGGGAATAGGGTTGAGAAAGCAGAACATGGAAGCAATAGGAAATTATATGGTTGTCTGCTGATTGCTGAATTGAGTCACACATTCTCCAGAGAAGATATTGTTACTAATGTGTACCACTGCTGCAGTTTCTTGCAGATGTTTTGTACTGCATAAAATAATCCATTTAAACCTGTTATGTAAACCTTGTACAAGGGTCTAGACCCGAAACGTCAGCTTTCCTGCTCCTTGGATGCTGCTTGGCCTGCTGTGTTCATCCAGCTCTACACTTTGTTATCTAAAAATTCTTATTTTTGTCACGTAGATAACTAAAGGGAAGATTGCACATTCAAGCTTAGAATCAGATGTTTCAATGGCCATTCATGCCATAAATGAGATATTTTTCAAAAAAAATGTATTTAAAGATCAGCATTACCTTCAAAACAAGCGTGATATCTGTCAGCCCAAAGGAGTTAAAGAGAACCTGTTATTTAAAACACAAGAAGTTTAGGTTGGTTATTTCAGCATTAAATAAATGAGAAAGTCCATGATAGCACTTTCTAAAATACATCAAGAACTAAGTATGCTTAGGATGTGAGATGTGGAATCGGGTAGCTGTGAAAGTCAATGTCAGGAGCCAAGCCCCAAAGACATGGATGTTGAGCTGTAAGAGGTATAATGATCCCACATGAGTAAAGTTAGTGAATATATCTATGAATACTACATTCTGTGAACTTCACCTGTGACCTTACATATTGCTCAATTCAAACAGCCTCATCATTTCCTATGATCAATCTGGTTCAATCAGGACCCATATCTGAAACTCACATGATTTAGCACCCTCTCACACCCATATCTCACTGCTCCACATTCTGCCAGCTATTGAATCATGACAGCCACATCAGCTGCACAGTTTGCATGACATTCACTGACACATTTCCTACACCTTATGAAGGACAAAGTGACACATAAATAGAAGCAGCAGGAGCTGGGGCTGGAGTTGAGTAGGGCAGGGGACATATCTGCACATTCTGACCCAGCAGAAATGCTGAAACCATCAGAAAGATGGCAATATTAACATACCTAATTAGCAAACCTTCTTCTGGTTTTTACAAGCTGCAGAAGGCGTAAATATGCATCTTTGTGTTTCCACACTCATTGCACCACAACCTTGCCATTTTAGCTTTCTCTTTTCAGAAGCCCAAGAACTGCAACCTCATCTGGCAATTCCAGAACGGCAAGAAGAGAAAGGTGATAAAAACACAGCACCTGATCTCACAATTGCAGCCACCAGCTCATGTACTGATATTGTATGTTAGCTAGAGGAAAGCCATTGATATGGCATCTGCAGATGAGGATAAGGCAGGAGCAACCTGCAGTGATAGTAGGAGGCAAGGATAGCACAGCTGCCAGCTCATCAGATGGAAAGGCTGTAGATGAATGCTGCTGCAAAGAACTAAGATGAGGTTCTTCTTGAGAGAGCCTGCAGAAGGATGGGTATTCAGAATGAAATGCTCGGTTCTTTGGAACACGTGACAGAAATGTTGTGGTCAATGTCAAGGAGCAAGAAAGAATTCAGGACCAACTTATACAGAGCTCTGATGCTAGAGACCATCCTTTACAGCATTTAAGTAGTGGTCAATTCACAGTTGAGTACCCAACCATATTGCAATATCTGCTGCTCAAGGTCTCAGTTTCTACTGCAACACAAACAATTTTCACCAGAAGAAGACGCTATGGTGAAAGCTCACACCGAGGTCATGTACTCTCAAACTTCTACCATGCACGTTCATGATTTCTTAGTTCTGTGACAACTCACAGTGCCAGCTGTGATAATCAAAGGACGGCTGTCAGGCAACAAGGACTATTTGCAAAGTGGGTACACATGCACAGCATGTGTACAATAACAGTCATGCTTGCTCAGGAAGTGTTACAGCAGACCACCAGAAAATCTACTGTCTGTTTGTGAAGTAGAAGTTCCCGATTTCACTCCAAAAGAACCACCTCTAATTTTTTACTTTGCCCTCTCAGCCTACAATTTCTAAACAATAGCAATAGCTTCCTGTTAGCTTATCTGTTCTACTTCATCTACTAAAAACTGACTAAATTACTCCTTACCTTACTAAATTCCAGGGCATACACCCTAATTTGATAATCATGTCTCATAAGTTAATACTTCGAATCCAGCGTAATTCTAGTAAACTTTTGCTCCACTTCCTCCAAGGCTAATACATCCTTCTTGAGGACTGGCACACAGAACTGCTCATAGTACTCTGGGTATGTTCTATCTAGGGACTTACATAGCTACAGTTTGCTTGCCAAAGGGTCAGATCAGATACTAATTATTCTGCAGAGAAGTCAGATGAAGACGTGGATGTACAAGGCTGCAGAAGAAGGCTAAAGGGTAAACATAGCCAATTCCTGATGCACTAAAAGACCAGCCAGAAAGCCTGAACACATAGTCTATCACCAACTAGGTATGGGTTGCTGTGCAAAGTCTGGAGTCCATCTTTTCGAATATGGAAATAGTGGTCACCTTCATCAGAATACCTATAGAATCCAGCATGATGTAGGTTCTGTTGCTCGGCGTCACAGCTCAAAATCTATAGTGAGTGGATAATATTTAGAATGCAAGTCTTTTCTGACTGGTGGACACAGATTCAGTCATACTCTTCAAGACAATTTATAATCAACCTGTTCAGAGATGTTATTATACACCTCTAAAGTAGGTCAAACTTGAACCAAGGAATCCTGTCTAGAGGTAGGGACACTACCATTGCACCACCAGAGCATCTAGTTGTAGTCTTCACGCTATATTCTAATCAACCTTCTCAGATGTTCTTACACACTTCTGGAGTAGGTTGGACCTGAACCCAGGTGTCATGGCTCAAAAGGTAGGGATACTGCCACTGAGTTGCAAGAGCCCTAGTCACATTCTAATCAAACCGTGCAGAAATGTTCTTAGACACTCCTGGAGCAGATGGCATTTGAATCCCGGCCTCCTGGTTCAGAGGTGGGGTCACTACAACTGTACCAAAAGGTAATTGAATAAATACTTGCAGCTGAAGAAACTGCACTGAATTGGAAATTAGCCCAAGGGAGGTCCAGGTTCAAGTCTCACTGCCACAGGTGTGTGTGTCAAAAGGTTGATTAAGAAATAATACATAGTTAGTCCATCTGTCCCTTTCCACTTCATTTCCACAAGAGCTAATATAACCCAATGAGGAGGCCATTTTGTGCACTAGTAACAAAGTTTGGTCATTCTTTGGCTGCTTAGCAATCAGTTTGCTAATCTCCAGTTCAGTTTGAACTTTTGTTTATCCAATTACTCAGCTCTACAAAAGGTACTACTGTGAACTCCGTACAAGCATTTCACAATGTAAATATCTTCATTTTGATGTTAGGAAGAATGGAAAGATGATAACATTGAAGAAGTCAGCTTCCTGAAAGTATCCCTTACTTAGATCTCACATCGGCATTTTTATAGTACGCAGAAATGCAGGAGAGGGAGAAGTACAACAAGACAGCCTGCCGTCTTAGGAAGGAGATCAGAACTGATAGTCTAGAACTTTCAATATCTAGCAACTTACTCATCAAAAGCACAATCCACCTGTGTATTCTTTCCCAACTGAACATACAAGCCGCACAAAGTCTCTCATTTCGAGAATTCTGCCAAATTTTCTCATTAGACCAGTCACCATTGACCCTGCCGTCATTTGACGCCCAAAATTTCAAGGCAGTTACAAAAATAAATTCATAATTCTAAGATTAAGCTACTTTTAGTATACAAGAAGGCAAACAAAATCAATCTTCTCTTTCAACAATTACTTCCTATCACTTTGACTCTTATACTTAGCACAAAAGATAGTCATTCAAGTTCTTGAAACACTTGAGAAGAGCTGGGAGAATGTGCAAACTCCACACTGACAGTCACCTGAGGATGGAATCAAACCCAGGTCCTTGGCGCTGTGAGGCAGCAGTTCTAATCACTGTGCCACCGTGCCACCCAGTTCATGGTACGGATTCCCAGGAAAGAGGAGACAGGTTGCTTGTCTCCATTTGAATTTAGAATAATGAGTCTATGGGTCTATGAAGAATGGATCATATTGAAGCATATAAGATCTTGAGGGGACTTAACAGAGTAGGTGTGGAAATTATGGTTCCCTCCTGTGGCAGAGACTAAAACTATGGAACACCATTGAAAAATAAGGGGTCTCCTATTTAAGACAGAGTTGAGCAGAATTCTTTCCTCAGAGCATCATGCGTTTGTGGAATTCACTTCCTTGGAGAGTAGTGCAGGAACAGTCATTTAATGTTCTTGAGGCAGATTTAGATATGTTTTTGAGAAACAAGGTACTCAAGGAGAGTTGGGGATAGCCAGGAGAGTGGAGTTGAGGCCACAATCAGGTCAGTCATGATCTATCAAATGGTGAAGCAGACTCGAGGCATCAAATAGCCCATACCAGCTCCTAATATGTTTGTTCATCTGTTTCCCAAATTGAGATGAAAACTCACAAAATGCAATGTTGTGGAGGTGCCAGTGTTGGACTGGGGTGGACAAAGTCAGAAGTCACACAATACCAGGTTATACTCCAACAGGTTTATTTGAAATCACAAGCTTTTGGAGCATAACCCCTTCATCAGGTGCAGTAAAAGAGAAGCACACAGAACAAAGAATTTATTCGCAGTGAGATCAAGGGCAGAGAGATCAGAAGATTATACAAATGGTGTGAGTGGAGTGTCAAATAATAAGTCCCTATAGCTGATCAAAAGTATCAGATGGTGTGAGTAAACTGTCAACAGCTGAATAACAAGCGAAGGGATGATCTATAATCCAAGTAAACAAGGCAGAGAGGTAATTATAAAAATTAAAAATAAGGTGGTGCTGGAGACAAATCAAATGACAGGAATAACATGTTAGGTATATGAGTCGCATGCTGAGGGTCTAACCAAAGTAATAGGTAATTCAAAACTGTACAGACTAATTAAGGTAGAGAGATCATAGCAATTTATCAAGGTGATAGTGTCAAAACAGGACAGTAAGGAAGATTTTACAGGTACAGAATAGTGGGTCACATGTAATGCAACATGAACCCAAGATCACGTTTGAGGCCATCTTCATGGGTACAGAACCTGACCATCAGCTTCTGCTCAGTGATTCTGCATCATTATGTATCTCGAAGGCTGCTTTGGAGGACAATTACCCGAAGATCCGAAGCTGAATGTCCTTACCCGCTGAAGTGTTCCCCAACTGGGCGGGAACAGTCCTGTCTGGCGATTGTTGTGCGGTGACCATTCATCCATTGTCATAGCATCAACATGATCTCACCAACTGACCATGCCTCGGGGTATCCTTGCCTGCAGCGTATGAGATAGACAACATTGGCTGAGTCACATGACTAGCTGCTGTGTACATGGTGGGTGGTGTTCTCACATGTGATGGCAGTATCCATGTCGATGATCTGACATGTCTTGCAGAGGTTGCCATGACAGGGTTGTGTGGTGTTGTGGTCGATGTTGTCCAGAAAGTTGGGTAGTTTCCTGTGAACGATGGTCTGTTTAAGGTTTGGCAGTTACTTGAAGGTGCAAAGTGGAGGTATACAATGATCTTGGCAAGATGTTCATTGTCATCAATGACATGTTGAAGGCTGCGAAGAACATGGCGGAGGTCTCTCCACTTCGGGAAAGTACTGGACGACGAAGCATACTCTATTGGTCGGATATTGTGTCTGTCTTCTGAGGAGGTCATTGTGGTTTTTCACTGTGGCACATTGGGACTGGCCAGCAATGAGTTGAGCATTGTATCCCATTCTTATGAGGATGTGCTTCAAAATCTTTAGGTGTCAATTGCATTCCTCCTTATCTGAGCAGATCATGTGTATGCGCAGAGCTTGTCTGTAACAGATGGCTCCCTAAACATATTATATATTATTTTTAATTTTTTGCAATTATCTCTCTGCCTCATTTAATCGGATTATAGGTCATCCCTTCACTTGTTATTCAGCTGTTGACACTTTACTCACACCGTCTAACAATTTTGATCACCTGCAGAGACTTATTATTCAACACTCCACTCACACTATATGTATGATCTTTTGATCTCTCTGCCCTTGATTACTCTGCCCATAAATTTTGTGTTCTGTGTGCTTCTCTTTCACTTCACTTGATGAAGGGGCTACGCTCTGAAAGAATATGATTTCAAATAAACCTGTTGGACTATAACCTGGTGACGTGTGACTTCTGACTTAGATCACAGTGTGCAAAGGGAATCTTTACAAGTATACATTATAATGCACCCATCAGCCGCAATGCATTTGTGATCAAAATATGTATTTTTTAAAAGAGTGACATGGATCACAGGATCATTGGTTAACATGATGAGAAAAATATATGCAATCTGCAAACTTATTTCAAGTGGTAAAATTTACATGTACATAAATATTCCTAGGTACCTGTTTAGCAGCAGCATTGTCTAGTCCTCGCAGAATGCCAACATCTTTGACAATAGTAACTTCATCATCTTTAAAATAAAAAAACAGCTGATTTACAGAAATTTAGTTCATACAATTCAATTGATATAAATCTTTTGAACGCTATCTACATTTTTAAGTATAGTATATCAATGCAATTGTATTCGATACTAATACAAATACAAATTCTAATAAATTTAAAGGTATTAAGTGCCTAACTACTGTTGTCACGCTTACATAGATTCTATTCATTGTCAAAACTAATAGAAAGTACATTGAATGCAAACCTGTAACAAATAACCAAACTGCAGAATACTCTAAATAGATGGTAATTTGACTTCAGAGAAATGCACTCAAATGTTCAAGGTATAAAGTGACTTTCTCTTTATCAAAGGTACTTATCCTTTGATATTTCTAGGATCACAGTGAGTAAACTAATGGTAGACTAATAGCACATCAGCTTTGAAGACCGAGGTAACTCATTTAGAAAATACTGATTTTAATGCTGCCAATTCTATGTACTCTAAATTGGTTGCAAATTCATTTTAGTGCAAAACACTTAAGGATAGAAATTTATCTTGGGCAATGGAACAAAACAAGCAACATTGAATCAGTTGCCTGTCATACGCAGTGAAACTAAATATAAGGAGCTTTGTTAACTGGCAGCCAATCTGATATTGTTCTGTTGTGTCACAGGCCAAAACCATTTCCACCCCTTGGACTCTAACCAAACATAATTATTTTGATTGATGACAAAATAACTGGTTTAAAACTTAAAATGGTAATTACAACAAACTGGCAGTGTTCTGCAGCATTACTCCTCTGAACATGACGGCAACCTTTTGATCCTATATGTGTGGGTAAAGATAAGGTTATCCTCTTTGGTAGCAGAGTCATAGAGTCATACGGCACAGAAACAGGCCCTTTATCCCAATTCGTCCATGCCAACCAGGTTTCCTAAACTGAACTAGTCCCATTTTCCTCATTTGATCCATATCCCTCTAAACATTTCCTATCCATGTACCTGTCCAAATGTCTTTTAAATGTTGTAATTGTACCTGCCTCTACCATTTCCTCTTGCAGCTTGCTCCGTATAAGCATCACCCTGTGTGTGGAAAAGTTGCCACACAGGTCCCTTTTAAATCTTTCCCCTCTTATCTTAAACCTACGCCCTCTAGTTTTGGACTCCCTACCCTGGGGAAAAGACCTTGGCTATTCACCTTATACATGCCCCTCATGATTTTATGAACCTCTATAAGGTCATGCCTCAGCCTGCTATGCTGCAGGGAAAAAGAGTCCCAGCCTATCCAGCCTCGCCTTATAACTCAAACCTTCCAGTCTCAGTAACATCCTTGTAAATATTTTTTGCACGCTTTCCAGTTCAATAACATTCTTTCTATAGCAAGGTGACCAGAATCAGGAAGGCAGATTATTATCTGAATAGCTATAAATTGAGAGAGCGGAATGCACAAGGATAGCTGGGTGTCCTCATAAACCAGTCAGTGAAGGTGCAGGTGCAGCAAGCAGTAAAGAAGACAAAGAGTATGTTGACCTTCATAGCACGTGGATTCCTGTACAGAAGCAGGATGTCTTGCTATGATTATACAGGACTTTGGTGAGACACACATGGAATATTGCTTGCAGTTTTGGTCTCCTTATCTGAGGAAAGATGTTTTTGTTATACAGGGAGTGAAGCAAAGACTTACCAGATTGATTCCTGGGATGGCAGGACTAACGTTTGAGAGAGGGTTGGGGTCACAGTCTGAAGATATGGGTAAACAATTTAGGACACAGATGATGAGAAATTTCTTCACCCAGAAACTTGTGAACCTATGGAAAGTCATGAAGGCCAAAACATTGTATGATTTCAAGAAGGAGTTAGATATAGCACTTAGGTAGAGCTACAGGGCTCAAAGCATATGGGGTAGAAGAACAGACTGGCTATTGAGTTGGATGATCAGCCATGATCATAATGAATGGTGAAACAGGCTCAAAGAGCTGAATGGCCCTTTTCATAATATATTATAATTTTCATTATTATATATATTTCATAATATATATAACATGGAAACCTAAAGATTGTTGTTGGTGTTTCGATACTTCTCTAGAGGATGTACTGTTTAGGTATCACCTAACTGCAATCAATAAGAAATCTGTGAATTGACAAAGCATTTCCCTTTGATTCCCACACCCACCCCCCCAATCTTATGGTAAAGACCCTTGGCAGTATACTAGCTTCATAATTACTATTAAATTTGACTCTGCTTTCTCCATATCAATTACATCCAGAAGTGTCCAGTAGACTGTAAAATTGTAAAAACAGAAAATGAGGTTTTGTTCCTCCAGCTTGCTTTCGGTTTTGCTGGAAACAGCAAAATCTAGAACAGAAATGCTGACATGAGGACAAGATTGAAATGGAAATGGACCAGAAGGTCAGGTCACACTTGCAGACTGAGTGGGGGTGTTCCATGAAGCTGTCACCCAATCTGCTGTTAGTATTCCAAATGTCAAGGAGATCAAATTGTGAGCAGCAAATACAGCAGAAAAAAACTGAAAGAAGTACATGTAAATCATTGCTTCACCTGGAAGGAATGTGTGGAGCATTGGACAATGAGGAGGGATTGTGTGGAGCATTGGACAATGAGGAGGGAGGAGGTAAAATGACAAATGTTACACTTTCTGCAATAGCATGGGAAGTGTTGAAGGTGATGGAGAAATGGAGAAGAGTGCTACAAAAGAAAGATCCCTTCAGAATGTTGACAAGGAGGTGAGGGAAGATGTATTTGGTGTTTGCAACACACTGGAGGACGTGAAAATGCCTGAAGATGATCTTTCAAATACAAAGACTTTAGAGTAGAAAGTGAGGGCAAAGGAAACCATGTTGTGGTTCTGGGAAGGGATGAGGGAAATGGGTCACACATGGATCCAGCCCAGTGTGGGGAAGGCCTCCAGATGCTGCCTGGCTTGCTAAGTTCTTCCAGCCTCCTGTTCCTCTATCAAGGAAGAGTAAGAAATGGACAGGTGAAGGTGAGAGAAGGCTCGAAGTTGAAAAGAAAATTGATTAATTGTTCCGGTTACAAACATGACCAGTAATACTAGGAAAGTGAGACAATTCAAAGGAAAAATTCTTTTGTGAGAAAACAAAGTCAGCCAGGAAGAGGAGGGTGGTCGTGGTGTTTGGTAATTGATCAAGCTTCTGGTGCAAGGGTCAAGGATGTCTCCAAGGGGGTACAGGACATTCTGACAGATTAGGTGAATGGGCAAAGTTGTGGCAGATGGATTTTAATATAAGCAATTGTGAGGATTTTCATTTCAGGCTGAAAAAGGATAGATGATGGTATTTTTCGGAAGGCACAAAGTTAAATACAGCAATTGTCCAATGTGATTTGGGGTTTCAGGTGCATGGTTTAATCAGGGTTTAAAATGCATCACAACTTAAGAAAGATGCTTCAGTCATACAGTCATAGAGATATACAGCACGGAAACAGACCCTTCAGTCCAACTTGTCCATGCCGACCAGATATCCTATATAAATCTATTCCCATTTGCCAACATTTGGCCCATATCCCTCTAAACCCTTCCTATTCATATACTCAACCTTTTAAATTTTGTAATCATACCAACCTCTACCAGTCCCTCTGGCAGCTCATTCCAAACATGCACCATCCTCTGTGTGAAAAAGTTGCCCCTTATGTCCCTTTTATATCTTGCTCCTCTCACCTTAAACCTATGCCCTCTAGTTTGGGATTCAAGGTGTAGAGAGATTGGACATCTCATGATGAAGAGGAGGCAGTGAAGACCAGGAAACTGGAAGTTGTTGAAATGTCACTAGATGTCTGAAGAATCATGAATGTAGTTGGCAAGAGACTAGACAAGGGAAGAAAAAAATGGATTCAAGATTGGAAGAAATAAATTAAGAAGATAAGAGAGGAAAAACACCTAATCCTCTCTGGAGATTTTCCTTCATAGTCTCCCAAATTATTGCAGTCTACCCCTACTCAGCCCATTTCTACCTTCTACTCAAAATCCATAAACAGGACAGCCCTGGCAGACCTCATTGTTTCAGCTATTCTAGCCACAATGAAATTACTTCTGTGTCCAGGGCCAGGAACAAATCATGGGCCTCAATGCTGCTCCAAACCCATAGCCTACTCCAAGCCGCTGACCTGAGCAAAGTAGCCTAACTCCAAACCAAGTATCACAGCCCCTGTCCCAACCATGGCCCATGCACAGCAGCCTGCTCCTTATCAAAAAACAGTGGCCCAGCCCCTGATTCAAGAACAGAAACCCCACTCTCCCAATCCAACACAGTGGCCCCACCCTCAACCTGAGCACACTGGGTCCCCACCAACCCTCAGCCTTAGTTTTTGGGCCCTGACGTTGATGCCTGTCCGAGGCCCTCTCTATATTGTGCTACTGCCAATCTCCCAGACAAACAGCTTTATTAAGGAAGTACGTTTAAGGATAATGCTAAAGGAGGCAACACAGGGAAAAAGGGTGATGGAAAGACATTTACAGCTTAGGATTGACCCTTAATACTGTACAGTTAGAGTAATGTGTGCTGTTTCTGCCTTTAGTTTATAGGGAGACAATCGATCTTTCAAGATGATAAAAAAAAATTCATTATGCTGCTGCCTTGGTGTTGAAATATTAATATGAAACAAGACTGAAAAAATAGGATTTTATTTCAGTTGACCAATGAAGATTGTACGAAGATATTAATAGAGAGGATTACATTTTGAAAGAGAGATAACAAGGTGTAGAGCTGGATGAACAGAGATAGTAGGAGGGATTGGTTTATAGTACGAAGGGTGTAAAAAAAAACTTAAATGTATCTTAAAAAATTAAAAAATGTAATGAGAAAATGAAATGCCACGAGACCGCATGGTGTCTCAATGGTCAGCACTGCTGCCTCACAGCGCCAGGGACCCAGGTGCGATTTCAGCCTCGGGTGACAGTCTGTGTGGAGTTTGCACGTTCTCCCCGTGACTGTGTGGGTTTCCTCTAGTTGCTCTAGTTTCCTCCCACAATCCAAAGATGTGCAGGTTAG